CGGAGAGCCGAGTTCGAATTCCAGTCGAATCCATTACATTCACTTACGTACTAATACCCTTGGGAAAGGTGTGAATCCTCTTCTTCTCCCTCCAGCTATAGGTAAATAGCAGGACAGACTGGGTTCTATAGCCTTGGATGGCAACTGGTCTAGGAGAAGGAAAACTCTGAATTCAAAACCTGCGGAGGGTCATTTGGGGACCTTGTGGCACGTAGTGCAACAGGTCTCTGTATTCGGCCCTTCAAAAAGTGTGGATGGTCCTGCACGAAACCTTCACCACTATAATCAAATTTCATGTGCTATACATGCGGGTTGGGGACCGCTTGTGAATTCCAAATTCCCATGAAACTCCAGGTGAATGCCGTTACAGGTACAGGGGTAGGGGATAAAAGAAACTGTCGCTAGGCAATGAGGAGGGGTGGCTCGGAGAATTTAACACTCACAGGACATACTGAAGACAAAGAAACAGGAAGAATCGGCAACAACTCAACGAGGCTAAATAAACAAACGACAGAAAAAGAAGACCATAATGGCAAAGATGTTTGGTTAACAAGCACGACTCATTCAGAGCAACAGAATACAAGAAGTTCGGGAGAGCCATAATCGTCCAAAGCCTGTGAGAATATGACACATAGAAATAAAGAGAGATGTTTCATAATGGCGATAGTTTAATCCTGTAAGATAAAAGGAATCCCGCCGCGCTCACAGATGACAGGAAACTGGTCTTTCTGGTAAACTTGGTAATGTTAGCAACGTTAGATAAAACCCCGAGAGTAAATTTTCCATACGTAAAACATACGCTACATAAAAAAACTTAACGTCAGCCGAATCGAGGGTATGTGGTTTCGGGTCTTTCTTCGAACGTTCGATCGTCTCACAGGGATGCTCGGAATCTCTCTCCCTTCATAGGTCGGACGTTTATATAACTACTTGCTTCACTTCTTCTTTATGCTGATGCACACACCGATATCATTCGGGAAACAATTCTGTACTTGCTTGTTTCAAGGACACTTTTTAGGTTAACCCTTGGACATCCTGGGTATTTTGACTTTTTTTTTTTGTGCGAACCTAGTACATATTGGGACCATCACAGATGTACACTGTTTAGATCAAAGATTCCCGGCGGATTGTTATGGGACCTTACCCATAATAACATAATTGACTATTCCATACGTAATAAATACTGCGCCTCAAGAGGAAGCAGAGAGTTCCGTCTGAAGTCGGGCGACCGGTTGACTGGCTGACCGGTTGAACTCTCTGCCTTCGGGTGGGGAGGAACCCGAACGAGGCTACGCCGAAGGGCGGAGTCTCTTTCGGGGAGGTAAACCGACACTGAACCCGTTTATACGGGTTCAATGGGCATATTTTTGGCCGATCCCACGGGCTCGGAGATTCCATGTTAAACCGGCCTTGTGCCACATGATACACTCGTGGGGTGGGGGTGACTAAATACTGTTCAGTCTGAAGTCGGAGTTCCGTCTGAAGTCTAGAGTTCAGTCTGAAGTCTGGAGTGAAGTCCGTCAGGAGTCTGTCAGTCAGTCAGAGCGAGCGAGTCAGTCAGTCGAGTCAGAGGCAGTCCGAAACAGAGTCACGTTCAGACAATTACTACTAAACCTGATTGTTCGTACTAACACTTTTCTATTTCTCTGTATATATTCCTGTTTGTAATATATCTGTGTTATTCCATATACCTGTTCGAGTTCTTCTTTATTAGTTCTACCTTGGACTGTCACTGTGGTACAAGGGACCGGACCATAACACGGATATTAAATTCGATCCGTGCCTCTGGCAGTTTCTGCCATGAATCACATACTACAAATTGATGACCGCCAGCTTTTGGCAGGACCTATCCCATTAAAGTAGACAAGTGCGAATACCTATTCGAGTGTTGGTCTAAATATGAACTAGTGCCAAATGCTGTAGGACACCCGATTCTTAGACGCCTTGATGGCTTTAAGGACACCTTCTCGGTGAAACGTCGAGGCTTCTAGATCTTGGGAATATTTGAAGTGACACCGAGTACAAAACTTACATTAGTATTTTTTGAAGGATGAAACCGGTAAATATTGGAATTATGATTACCACTTTTCAGATCAAAGATACCTGATAGTTATTAAATTAAATTCAGACAGTTTGTATTTCTTGACGTAAAATCATCTGCGAGATAACGTGATGACTGGTATAACGTTGGCAGGTATCTATCATGTCCCGTTCCTATCTCAGAACAAAGGATGGAGAGACGTATTTGAAATATGAACACAGGCAAAACTAATGCGAATAGTGTCCGACTTTTTGCTTGTGCCGTAAGCGACTTGTTCGTGAGTTTTATCCAAGTCTAATGTTCAGGAAACAAGGCCTCGTGCCATATTTGCTGAAGGGGGCTCTTTGTGATGGCGTAAGATGGAACGTAAAAGAAGTCCCGTAAAAACAAACTGTAATGTAAATCCGTTCGCTTATCTATTTAAGCTGGTAAATAAATGGGGCCTCTGTTATAAACTGCTTCACTGAGTTGCTAATGATTTCTTGAAGAGATTTATTTTGGGCCAACCTACATTCACCATTTTAGTTACATTAGACAGGACACAGAGATAACAGTTAAACAGATTCTTCCATATACAAATATATATATATATATATATATATATATATATATATATATATATATATATATATATATATATATATATATATACTCGACTCTCCGTCGAATTCGACGTATGAGGGTCAAAAGCAGCTCAGTTCTTGAAACTGACAGCCCGACAGCACCACACGAGATTTGATTATAGTGGTGAAGGCTTTGTGCAGAACCATCCACACTTTATGAAAGGCCAAATACAAAGACCTGGTGCATTACGTGCCACAAGGTCCCCAAACGACTCTCCAGGGATTTTGAATTTAGAGTTGCCCTACTCCTAGACTAGTTGCCATCCAAGGCTATAGAACCCAGTCTGTTCTGCTATTTACCCATAGCTGGAGGGAGAAGAAGAGGATTCACACCTTTTCCAAGGGTATTAGGACGTAAATGAATGTATTGGTTTCGACTGAATTCGAACTCGGCTCTCCGATTCCTCAATCCAAGCTTCCTATCCATTACCCCATCGTGCACACACACACACACACACACACACACACACACACACACACACACACACACACACACATATATATATATATATATATATATATATATATATATATATATATATATATTAAGCAAGATAGATACATAGATAGATAGATAGATAGATAGAAGCAGACTAATAGATAGATAGATAGATAGATAGATGAATAGATAGATATGAACAGACTAAATAAGCTAGAAGCAGACTAATAGATAGATAGATAGATAGACTGAATTAGATAGATAGATAGATATGTATAGACTGAATTAAATAGATAGATAGATAGATAGATAGATTGATAGATAGATAGATAGATAGATGCGTTAATGAAGGTCCTGACATTTAATGTGTTACCATCTCACGTTCCTTTCCCGCGTGATGATAATCCACTGTGTCAGTGTTGACAGAAGTGACAAGCAACGAAGCCAGCGCAGTGCACTGCCTGCTTATATCTTTCATGAATTCCATAAACGGATCTCTGAAATAAATTCGTCTCGGCGATGTTGACCTTCACACTAATATCCTTTCCCCGCAAAAGTAGCAGTCATGCATTTGAAGAAATTAGATCCAAACAGTAACCATCGTTTGTGCTCTTCCTTTTTTTTTCTACTCAAAGATGAAGAAGAGACTCGAAGCAACAGAATTGTGGTTCTACAGAAGGATGCTGAGGGTACCATAGGCCGAATATATAAGCAGCAACGAGGTTTTGGAGAGAATAGAAACAAAGAAGAAACTTATGCTTAATACCAGGAAGAGGCCGTCCTGGATATGACGATAAACTACATTCGCGTCCTGGGTAAGACGATAAACTACATCCGCGTCCAGGGTAAGACGATAAACTACATCCGCGTCCTGGGTAAAACGATAAACTACATCCACGTCCAGAGTAAGACGATAAACTACATCTGCATCCTGGGTAAGACGATAAACTACATCTGCGTCCAGGGTAAGACGATAAACTACGTCCAACAGCAAGGCCTCTGATCAGAAGGTTTTGAGGAGCGTGGAACCACGTCTTAATTGCTGGCGTTCCCAGATCCACCCTGACAACTATGGGCAAATAGTTAATCCCCGAACTTGTGTAAAAATAGGTTTTAACACCAGAAATACATTGTAATAAAAAATATTATTGCCAGCAATAATTTTTTGAAGGAAAAATTACTATCAGCAATAATTAAAATTTACAGTGAAGCATATACTGTTAGAGTGTGTAGATTTTGATTTAGTGCAAACAAAATATTACCAAGTGAGTAATTTAAAAAAAAAACTTTTACGAAAATAAAACTATTCAAGATTGTAAATTTCCTAAAAGAAGTTGGATTGTACTCAAAAATACAAGTAATTGAAAAATGGTTTAAATATATATGTATACATACACTCATTTTTTTTTACCAAACTATCGCTATGAATCTATTTCAAAAATTTTGTTGGCATTAAATGACCCAATGAGGTTTATATGCCATCAAACGAAACAGCCAAAACAGACAGGAAGAGGCAGTTGAAATTTCTGGAACATGTAATGAGGAAGGATTGCCTGGAAAATTTGATACTCACAGGGCGAATGGAGGAGAAAGAGGGACAGAGAAAAGCAATGCGTGACATTCTAAATGGGTCTGAGCAAGTGGATGACAGAACAGGGTCTGGGAGAAATTTAAAAAAATGACAAAACTTATTAAGAGCTACTTGGGAGAGGAGGATGTGGAGGACCATGATTGCCTACGACCTGAAGAGACACAGCACATAAGATTACCAATTAAAACATAAATAACCTTTATTACTTCAAAAGTTATTATAAGGTACACATTTGAAATAGACGCCCTATTTTTAATTAGTAAAAAGTGCATGTTACGTAATTCCAGAAATCTTAGTAAAGTGCCTTTCGGCCATATCGTTAAAGTATCGCCCCCCCCCGTGCGATCACCGAAGTTAAGCAACGTCGAGTATAGTCACTACCTAGATGGGTGACCGCTTGGGAATAACAGATGTTGGAAGTTTGGAAGTGCGAGTTGTGTAATGGATTATGGCTCGGAATTGTTAATCGGTGAGCCGAGTTCCAATTCCAGTCGGGTTCGTTAAATTCACTTACGCGCAAATACCCTTCGGAAAGGCATGAACCCACCTCTTTTCTCCACAGCTATGGTTTAATTAGTAAAACTGGTATCACTAAATCCTTATTATCTAAAAGAAAAAAATCTTACGCTCTAAAAAATATTTCTGGCTTTAAATAACTTGTAAAGATGTGCTAAGCCGTAGAAAACGAGTGAATGAATGAATCAAATAGTGATCAGCTATACAGGCTCGTTTTAGACTTATTTACATTCACTGGAGTATAACTGTACAGAAACTACCGTTTATATATTGATTGTAAAATAGCATTGATCACCCATTTTATATCCACATTATAATTTCTTTTGTTTATCCAATATATATATATATATATATATATATATATATATATATATATATATATATATATATATATATATCCAATTGAACTAGAATATATATATATATATATATATATATATATATATATATATATATATATATATATTCAACCCCCTCTTTAAAAACTTCTCTCTGTTAAATTTTAATTCCCCCCTTCATCTTTTAGACATTCCTGTTCTTCTCTCGTCTGTTACCCTCTCTATAGCTTTCATTTACTCTAACATTCGTCCCATACTCTCATACATACACTCTCACTAAATTTTATTTTTATTCCCGGAGTTGTTTTTTCTGTTTTCTTTTTTGAGTTTGTAGGTCTGATGAATTGGATCGTATTTACGATTCCAATGGAATAAATTATGACCATGGAATATTAGTGTTTAAGTTTTTTTTTATTATATATATATATATATATATATATATATATATATATATATATATATATATATATATATATATAATACACAAACCCACACGAATATACACACTTACACACATCATACTCACTACCCTAATGAGCCAAATGATAACACACACCTACAGCAATACACACGCTTACACATATCATACTCCTCCTCCCTAAGAACCAAATAAACACACACAAACACTAAACAGAGACACATCCCCTCACCAGGTCCAATAAAACTGTCAAACTGACCGGAGAATTCAGAATAATATGTATCTATTCAGCTCTTATCTCAAATAACAACTTAAAAGAGACTGTTTGACCAACACAAGGAATGTTAAAAGATTCATGTTAAAAAGATAAAAAAATAAAAAAATAAAAAAACAAATGAAAACGACAGACAAAAGTTCATTTTCTCCAACAAAAGACATTCATTTCTGTAGTTCACTGCTACCAGCAAGCAGAAATATTTCTTCTCCTGATGATGACCATTTCGGTCGAAACTAGTCGAGGAATCTAAATGGAATAATAAAAAAAAAAACGAAAGAATATTAATCTACAACCCAGTGTGTCTAAAGATTTTAATTTTTTATTTTCTTATTGTTCAAAATATATATATATATATATATATATATATACTATGGCTGGCCACTCGTATTCGAGGATACGCGTCTAAAATGGGGATTAGCTGATCCCTATTGCAGACGCTTGATCAAGAGCATTTTTGAGTTTGTCCAACAACCACAGAGCCGACCTTCGTGCTAGCACAGGCATCGACAGCCCCCAACTGTTCCGTCTAGCCAATTTCACTCACAAGTCTTGGGTCAACCTGGGGTATGGTTTTCAGGTACTTTCCAATGGTGCCGCAAACTGGGATCGTCTACTCGATTTGGCCGGAAAGCATGGAATCAGAAGTGAGTTCCACAAGCGAATAGCGTGAGAGAAGAAACTGTTGCTATAGAACTTACAGTTAGATCTATCCAATTCAGCTAGGGATTAATGAGACCTTGCCACCAATTTAGTACTACGCTTAAATTCATAAAGTCTAGCTATCATAGTAAAGAGTTCATCCAAACAATTACCATGAAAGTATTTATAGAAAAGGCAGAGGGAAGTAACTCTACAGCGGTGGAAAAGTGACTGAGTCCGAGATGCCAGGTCAAGACCAATAATATTGCTGATTCTTCTTTGGATATTATAAAGGATCTCTAAATATATAGCAAGAGCACCAGACCATATGTGGCAGTAATATTCAAAACATGGATAAATAATAGACTTACAAATATGCTAGATTCGGGGTGGGGGTGGGGAATTGTCTAGCACCACACAGTGAACCAACTTTCTTAACAACTGACCCAGCAATGGATTCAATATAATCTTTCCACTTCATGTCAGCCGAAGATGTAAACCCGAGAAAGCGCAATGAGTCACTCTCATAGAGTTTAGCATCAGCCATGATTGATGAGAGGCAGGAAAATCATACGGTGGCTTGAAAAGTCATCTTCCGTCTCACTACAGAGGCACTCCACCCAGGGATAACACCGAACATGTATGTCGTATTTATCTATTTGTTACCAAAAGAAAGAGAAAAGTAGTGGATGATTTAAGAAGGTCGTCAAACTCGAAAGCGAGTAGACTGCCATTGTGTATTTATTGGGTATATGTGGCATCTATTTGCATTTCAGTCATCTCTACGAGTTTGATAGGAGAAGAAAGACTGTACTTTGTTAAAGGTTTATTTTTAATTTCTCTTTTCCACGAGTCGTACTATGTTCCTTGTTTCCTGGGAGAATTTGAGCATGAATATATTTCACTTCTAGACGCTTTCGGATTTCATAAGTCATTATCAACGACATTTATGGGCTGAGTTGGGTGTGCGTGTGAGCGAGTAATGCGTTTATTTTGCTGGTTTTCCAGTGTCGAAACTTTGCTCGTCGGGGGGGTCTTGTCGGATTCACAGCTAATAATAATAATAATAAATGACATCTGCAGCACACACAATAAACCAAAATCGGCAAAATGCATGCTAATGAAAACAAATTATTAAGTCACAAAATTAATTATGAAAACCGAATTTACTCAGGCGATATTGAATAATTTATGTTTCCAAATTCCATATATATATATATATATATATATATATATATATATATATATATATATATATTTTTATTCCCGGATCATTTTTCAACTTATTCAAAATGATCTTTGCCCGCTCTAATCTTCTAACTTTCTGCCCTGGAGTAACAAGGCGCTTCACAGGCTTAGCTTAGTGTTGTTTTCTTTTTTTTTTCTTTTAAATATTAAACATTTTGTGAGATGGACAATTATTTGGACGATTTTGTTGTTACACCCGGCACACACACACACACACACACACACACATACATATATATATATATAAATATATATATATTATTCCAGGATCATTTTCCAACTTATTCAAGATGATCTTCTCCCGCTCTAACCTTCTAACTTTCTGTCCTGGAGTAAGAAAGTGTCTCACACGTTTCACGCACGATTTCATTTTCAAGTCTTTTTTCACTGCTGTTTGGACTGTCATAATTGAAACTCCTCTGTCACGTGACAAACGTCTTATGGATTGAATTGGATCTTTTCTAATTGATCTCTTTAGCTCTAAGTTGAAATGATGATCCATCATCTCCCATTGTAACTTCCTGATCCAGTTTTCTTCTCTACTCTTCCCTTGTTTTTTTAAACTTATTTAGTTTTCTCTTGATGGTTCTTGAATTGACTTTTGAAATGGAAGCCAGAGTATGAATGTTGGTACCTTTACTGATTGCTTTAATGATCTTTTCCTCTCATCATTGCTCAGTGTGTCTGATATAAAACAATTTTAACCCGTTCTCTTTCTAGCTGAATAACTCAAAGCTTTTTTTGAGTTTTTCTTACGACAAATCGTATCAAAATGGCTGAACGTCTTATTTGAAAACCTGGAAAAAAGAAACTCAATTTAGTGGATTTTTAGATCTTAAACCTTTTGTGGCATGAATAATTAGGCTGTTGCACGATTCGGACAATTTTGCTGTTACACCTCGTATATATATATATATATATATATATATATATATATATACAAATATCGAAATATGTTGAGACAATGTTGATAAATTTATCAATGAAATTATATATATATATATATATATATATATATATATATATATAGGTGTACTGAGGTCAATACTGAGCGACGACAATCTGTTTCATGCTTTAACTCACTCTTCAGGTCATTACCCACTGACCAGCATATATAAATAGTCGCGCCACCCCGCAATCCACATGTCCTGAAAATTGTGTTCACGTTTGAAACAGACTGACGCCACTCGGTGCTGACTTCAGTGTCTCCGTGGTCTGGGGGTAAGAGTACCTGGATGATGTCAAATCGGTCGAGTTTCGATTCTGGCTTGAATCAATCGGATGTATAGCCACATTGACGAGCTGTGATACAGCGAAACAGGCTGTCTGTGGATGACTATACACACACACACACACACACACACACACACACACATATATATATATATATATATATATATATATATATATATATATGTATGTATGTATTAATCCAATACTACGTTCTTTTAATCGTGATATGATGCATTATGCATTGAGGATGGGCGCATTCTAGTCATAAATTGAGGCATATGCCCAGTCACAAAGCCTAGGTATGCTGCGGCATTTAATTGGTCTTTTATTGGTTCTACAGATCCTAATACATGCCAAGAAAATATTCCTTGTACCATTATATCACCATCACCAGCCTGAACCATTGATAAAAACAGGATGGATGCATACTTGTAGCTTCAGATTCTTGACTTTCTCCTACAAGAATATCACCCGACGTGGTCTTCTGCTGCTGTAGCTCGTCTGCTTCAAGGTTGTACGAGTTGTGCTTTCAGGAATGCACTTCTGAATACCGCTATTGTAAAGAGTGTTTATTTGAGCTAAATTTGCTTTTCTACCATCTTCAACCAACATGCTCATTCTTTTCCGACCTCTTTCATCAAAAAAGCGATTTCTACCCAGAGAATTGTCACTAAGTTGTATGGTTTCTCTGATCATTCTCAGCAAACCCTAAAGATGATTGCGCTGAAAAATCCTAGTAGATTAGCAGAT